ATTAATTATATATTGATCTGTATCAGGATATTACGGAGACGCATTGTCGGATCGCAAGGAAGATGGATGTAAATTATGTCAATGTTATCCACCGGGAACTTTAGAACTTGACGATGGAAGAGTTGCGCCTTGCGATCAATTGACGGGACACTGTGCTTGCAAGCCACACGTCGTAGGTCGTAATTGTGACAAGTGCGAGGAAGGTTACTATCATATCATGAGCGGAGAGGTAAAGTCTATTAAAATAGTAGAAATAATTATATTTTAACGAAATGAACGATATTATATATATATAAATTCATTATAATTTCATTAAATTGTACTTTATAATAATTTTTATTTCATTATTCTCATTTATGCGGAATATAACATAAGAATTTCCAATTTTAACATATTGTTATAAACTATAAAATATTAAAGTCGTTATATTATTGCAAATTTACTCAACTTTAATTCTGCAATAATTGAATATATAATAATATTTGTAAATATTAATTATCAATATTAATTAAATATTACTGATTAAATAATACTTTTATCAAAAACATATTTTTTATAAATAAAATATTAATCTCTTTTATTTCTCAATTTGTAAGATATTTTCAAATTGTACATGAAAAATATTATTTTATTATATCTTTATTTTACAGGGTTGCACACCTTGTAATTGTGATCTCGAAGGTTCTTACAATCGAACCTGTGATCCAATAACGGGTCAATGTCAATGCCGACCCGGAGTCACAGGTCAACATTGCGATGCTTGTGAACCCTATCAGTACGGATTCAGTCGTGAAGGTTGCAAATCTTGCGACTGTGACAGCATCGGCTCTCAGGACTTACAGTGCGATGCAAATGGACAGTGTCCTGTAAGTCTCTAACACATATCTTTATCTATATATCTCCAAAAAAAAAAAATTAGATTAACATTCTATATAAATAAATTGTGCAATATGCAAAATTGATAATATAATTAAGATTTAAATTAAAATTACTTTTTTCTTATTTGCTATATTATAAAAGTTCAATAAAATTAAATTAAAGCTTACATAAAAGTTTTATATCGATTATCTTAACTTTAATCTTACGCACTTTTAAAGAAATATAATTGAAATTATATCTTTTTAATCCTTATTTATTACTGATTCTCGGTAGCATACAGATTTTTAGAAATATGTTTTTTGTTATTATTTTTTATTACTTATTTCAATGACAATAAATTGACAATAAAGATCTTTTTTTTATTCTTATTAATATTTTTGATCGACAGTGTTTAACGAACGTTGAGGGCAGACGTTGCGATCGTTGTAAGGAGAACAAGCACAATCGTCAGCATGGCTGCGTTGATTGTCCCGATTGTTATAATCTTGTACAATCGGCAGTCAATGATCATCGACGACGTTTGGCTGAGCTCGAAAATACTCTCTACAAGATCAACAGCAGTCCCACTGTCATCAAAAATTCGGACTTCGAAAAAGAGCTCAAAAATGTCCAAGATAGAGTAAAAGCATTATTGACTATTGCCAAGCAAGGATCTAGCAGTAAATATTATTATTTTTATTACCTAAATATCGATATCCGAAACTATTTAGATTGCCATCTTTTTCAGGCAATAATAAAACGTTGGTGGAACAGCTGGACGAGCTGCGTGAACAATTAAATACAATTGACAAGATCTATCAGACCGTGGATGTGACAGCAAGTGATGCACGTGATATAACAGAAGAAGGTTTGATAAATATTGATGAAGCAGAGAAGGTATTGGATAAAATCTATGAGCAATTAACGGTAAATAAAATTTTGTTTTTATTATTTATAGTGACTCTATAGAAATCGACCGAGTATTTTAAAACCTTAAAATATATATATATA